GCAGTACGGGATGCACTTCTCTTAAAAATTGAACGTATGCCTCACCATTTAATCGAGGAGGTAGAAAATGAGGCCCAATTAAATAATCCCCAATAACTCCGACCCACACGTTAAGAGAAAACTGTTCTTGATGGTTAGTTTCGACAATAGCGTGAGGGTTTTCATCAGCCCATATGTGGTAATTATGAAAATTAATAATCTTGTCCCGAGAAAAACTACATTCGTCTGTGAATTCGATCGTCTTCAGAAAGTCACGATTTCTTCTAATCATTTCCAGCATCCAATTGCAAAATTCAAGACGGTTCGGAAAGTCTCGCGGTAACAGTGCCTGTACTCGTTGCAGATGGTAAGGGTATAAGAGATGTTCCTTTAAAATTCGAAATACCGTCATATGATCAACATTTAGCTGGAAAGCAATCTTTCTAGTACTGGTAGTAGGTTGTTCTTCTATCAAATTAAGTACTGCTGCCTCAAGCTGTGGTGTTCTTACTTCTCGATGGCGACCACAATCCTGCGTTCTTTTGTTGAATGAACCATATTCACGTAATCGTTGATGAAGTCAGACAAATATTCTATGTGAAGGATGCTGCCGTTGAGGATACATTTCAGCATATCTTGTAGAAGCTTCTAACCCATTCCCCTGCGACAGACCGTAAACGTAATGCATATCAGCCATTTCCTCATTTGTGTATGCCATTTTAATAACAAGTGAATTATTAAAGTAACAAATTAAGAACAGAACAATACACAATTAGTATTACTTCAATTTCAAAAATTTACAAACTGACAGCTTGATTCCAATTTAATTGTCAGTATCGCTAATAGCGGCCTACTAGATAAATTAGTTTCGTATTTTCGTTTTATGGCGATATGTATCTTGTTCGTAAAATAATTTTTTGCTGCGAACTGGTTTAATTTGGGCAAAAAATTCAAGAGACATTTTTTTTTAGAATGAAACAGGCTATCGGAAATAAATTTTTAAATGGTAAACAAATAATAAGACAAAAAGTTACGTTGGAAATAAATTTTAGGGGTTGCGTTTTCCACCCCTTACAACCATGGGGTAAACCAAATAAATTACTGGCTAAGTGTCTTTTTGGTAGTAGAAAATGTCAGGTTAATTTCAATATTGTAACTTGTTTAGTGCTTGTGAAAAAAATTGTTAAACAAATTTTATGTACCCCCTTTAAGGGGCTGTATCTTAACAAGGGATGCTCCAATGAAGTTTCTTTATATGAAAGATCCTATCTTTTTTTCGATGAGGAATCACCCCCTTAAATGTTTTACACTTATTTAGTTACACCCTGTATAAATCATTTCAGATATGTTAACTATTTAAAATTGGCTTTACACGAGCCGCCACTGATTATTATGTTTGATCAAACTTAACCGATTAATGAAACGCGACAAAACCTAACACAGATAAATATTTTAATTCAATGATTTAATAAAATTGAGATTGAATGCCTGAGAGCAGCTGATATTATGTACCTTAACTACAATTTTTAGATTATATCGCGAAACATTATCAATAATTGTCAGTTGTTTCAATATCAAATTATGTGCTTGTAAAAAAAGTATGGCAACAACAATCCACACATATATTATAGCATTAAATTGCATAACATATGTTATCTACTAATACTAATAAACCTAAATGCCGCCGCAGGATATAATTCTGTTGTAATTATTAACATAACAATATACTAAATGCAATGTAGTAAAATTAAATAAACAGTATTTCCAAAAAAGAAAGTTGACGAATAATATTATGATTTATAATTAGGTGTGACAAAAATAAAATTGTAATGAAAAATGTGGTATTTACTTCAAATGTTTTTTTTTAGAAAATTGTTATTCCCCTTTTGATTTTTAATTAAGAATTGGAAGATAAAATAAAATACAATTTTCACATAAAACTAAGTCAGACATCCTTCAAATTAATTCAACAATGAATTTGAAGCATATACTCGTATGCTGTAAATTCGCGCATGTCTCGAAAATTTTCATCAATCTTTCTAAAGAGATCCCCCAAAGACACAGTTCCTGCTAAAAGAATAGGCATCAGTAGACAAGTTATCGCAGACGACCTACAATAATTGCCGCCGAAACGTCTCAGAACAACGTTTTTTACCACACTTTCCAAAATTTTCCCGCCAAGCTGCTAAGATGCCAAGATCGTCGCCAAATATCACCAGTATCAGACGACGATTCATACACAAAACCCGCCAACAACACACGACCGGTGAATGAAAAAATTGGTGAAAATAAGAAGTCCTAGAAACTTCAAAAGTCAGTACCTAATTAACTAAAGTAATTTTCAGTACCCTAATCCCTCGGAGACTCCCACAATCCACAAAGTAATGGCGTTTCCCTAACCTGAATTTTCTGAAACCAAACCGGGCCACACACCAGGCTACCCTGCGGAGCTCACGTCGAGGGTGTTCGAACGTCAGCTCGAAGACCATGTTGTTTTATAACCAGTGTTGGAAACTTTATTACTCTAACCCCGCAACACATAGACAGTTATGAAAATACACTAGACTATCATACTCGACCGTGCTCCATAAAACAAAATGCAAAACAAAAACAAAATGGATTAGTTGAAAACTTTCGAAACAAAATAAAACAGTCATAAATTTAAAATATATCGCAATTGTCAGTGTAACTAGGTACAAAAAGAGAGTGTGGACCATTATCCCAAGGCCAAGCAATCTCGTCATCAAATGGAGGAAGAGTGACTAACAGCTTTAGCGTCATCTATCTCAAGTGTCCATTGGGGTTGGGATGAAGGGGGATATAACCGAGCATCCTGGAAATCTCATTGCAGGCGAGCAGGCAACTAATCCCTTGGCACCTATTTCTGGCTGTATCTTGGAACTATTTCGGTTTATATTTAATTACAGTGATGCTAACGACGCTACTAAACTCTAATTGTAAGTTTTAATTGTGCCACACCTACAGCTCTAAATGAAACACAAGCTATAAATCTACTTCAAACGCATACTTTTTAAATCAACTCCAATAAATATATAACTGATTAGGCCTGCCCAAGTTATTGCCCATATCAATTACATTTAATTACGCCTTTTTGCTGGGTCGAGAAAAAAATATCGCTCTTTGGATTTACGCTAATTAACGGTCTGTAAAGATTAAATTTATTTTTATAACAATTTAGAGTAATATATCGAGATAGGAACGCCGGTGCTAGGCTCGTTTAAAGAGGTTTTTTGAAAAGCGCGACACACGTTCCGCTTTGTAAAAATGCCAGTAGGAACATTTCGCAACGGTAATAACACGTTTCACGTTCTAGATTGACTTGAACGGGTTCATTCTTAAATATAATGTCATATTAATCAATGAAATCTACTGATGTAGTACATTATAAAATCAAATTAATGCGTAGATATTGTTCATTTTGTGAAATAAGTAATGTTGCAATTAAACGTATTGTAATTGTTATTTAATTACTGATAATAATAACTATTATTGCGCTTATTACTGGGAGTAACATTTAAATACCTGTATTTAGCTTACGTGCTAAATTAATTAGGATCAGTAGAAAAATTACGGTTTTAAGTGAAGTGCCAAATGCAAATCAGCACTGACAGTGGTGTAACACCAGCTCTAATTTTGAAAGTAATGCCTAAAACTCGTACGCCACTGCTGCTTTATGTTGAAGTAAAATCTCGAGAGAGACAATTTAAAATTCGATTCAATTTCGAAATATTACATCAGTACAAAATAAAACGGCAACAAAATTAACCGAGAACAGTTTAAGTTTAAGCAGTATCCGATCCTGTTCCGAACGCTTACGAAACGCAATGGAGATTAGCCTTCGCACAAAATTTCAAGTATGTCATACGCTCTAAAAATCAGTTGTATTAGGGCAGGATTTATTTTTGTGATTTAGTTCAATGACTCAGCCGGCAAATACAAACGTGTTAGATAATATTGATGCAAAAGTGTAACAATAGCAACAGTGGCTCTTCAAAAGTTTGTTGACATTTCTCTTTGCAGTTCGTGGTCTATCTATTTTATGACTGAAATATTCCAACACATGACCCTGTATTTTTACGGTTTTTGAAAGAGATATCTTATATGTAAGCATTAACAGATAATGCTCTTTATAATAAAATAAATCTACGTAGCTTTTTGGTGGCTAGGACGATGAAATTTATTTACAACTTTTTTATTTCGTTTTGACTGTTAATGGACATTTCAAGTCACATATATCAATCGAGTGACATTTCTCGCTAATTAATAGAGCACTTCGGAGGATTTAATTTTATATCGATTAATTATTTGTGCCTGTCTACACATAATTTATAAACTAATATCAATTTGCAATTTGACTGCTTAATGAAGATTATTTCTATTTTATTTATATTGCTTTATAATGAATAGGTGTCACGAAGAACAATTCCATGACATTAATTTGAATGAATTCAAGTCAATTTAGATTGATTTCGAAATAAAAGCTTGCGACATAAGAATTTACTAAAATTTGCAGATATTTCGAATCGAATGATTAATTACAGCAAACGCATACGTATATTATAAAAAGCAAGTTATGTATAGTAAATTTTGATAATTCCTAATATTAAATAACATTTAAATCGTTTCATCAATGTTTAAGCAATTTAAATTCGGTGCTAAATACAATAATAAATTGTTTATCATCAAAAAGTGGTAAATGAGTGTTAATAACTGTTAACAACTTTGAATTGGTTTATATTGTTCAAACTTTTCCGCTTGTTCATAAAAAAGTAAATAATTTAATATATTTTATTACTCTCAAGAATCATAAAAATATAATGAAATTATCAAAACGTAATGTGAAATTAGACTTTTTGATACTCTCATACTTTAATAGGTTTATTAAACATTTACTACTTATTCTTTAATTAATGGTTATTTGCTTAACTATGCACTAAAGTACAAGATTTAATGCCGTAGCCGAGTCTATTAAAAATAATTTCAACAATGTTTCCACTCACCTGAGCTAGTGTTGCTACCGTCAATCCGAAAGCCAGAGCTATTTGTACGTAAGGGACGTATTCAGCGGGTTGGTTGAGGGCTATACACGATCCAGACCCTACCAGAACCAAGATCAATGTTCCCAAACATTCTGCCACCAACATTTTCCATATTAACTTGTTCTCCGTTATGTCGGATATACCCAGGATGCTTCCCGCCGACGTACCTTCAACAAAAACGAAATGTCAAAGACGATAAAGAGAGTACCTACTAAAACTTTACAGAGTATTAAAGAAATTATTTCTAGTCTACGCCTAAAATCCGATTTTTCTTCGCTGGGAGGATAACGACATAATTTTTATGCATGGTGTTAACTAAGAACAACCACAAAGTTCATCAGTGATTCTTTGAGAGATTTTAACCAAAAAGTTTATGTCAAAAATTTAATGGGGTGAAAAAAAAGCAAAAACTGAGTTAATCGATGTCACAAACTTGTATCGGAAGTTTAAGGTCATAGAGAAAAAGGCAAATTAAAAATATGTTTAAAACTGTTTTGGAACTGCTGAAATAGGTACACTATTTTATCGCGGCGGGTACTTTCTGAAAAATACTGTTTACGAGCTTATAGGTTTCTTATGAAATTGGACTGTATTCGAAAGTCAATTTGTAATACATTGTTGTAGTGATTGCTGTGCTGTTTTTCTAGAGTACATTTAATAGCCGTATTTCCAAGTTTTCTTTTGAAAGTGGCGCTGGAAGTTCGTTACATCGATCAACTGCGACATCGTATTGCCGAAGCTTGTAATGCGATTCGAGAGGACATGGCAATGTTGCAACGCGTGCGAGCGAATTGGATACGTCGCGCTGAAGGTTGTGTGCAAGCAAATGGTGGGTACATCGAACATCTTCTATGAGAATCAGCAGTTCTCAAAAGGTGGCTCCTTCCAATGCTGAGGTAAGTCAGATTTTAAAATTACATTTTACTCAACACAAATTCGCGTATTTACCTCATTTTGACATAACGGACATGTGGCAAAAATATATGACATAAGTTCATTAACACCCTGTATAAACGAAAGTTTTCGAGATACACAGTACTGAAATAAAAAAAATCTTTTTCTAAATATCTCTGAAGACATTTGATACAGTATGACGAAACTTGTAATAACTTAATATAACTTAGGTTGATCACGATTAAAGACAAAATTCCACTATATTACTTGCACCAGTGGCGGAGATACCGGGAGTTGCTTTCACTGAAAACCCCAGAAATTTGACGCCTCTACTTATGCGGTTTGTAAGAAAAACCACATCATTCATTTTATTGGAAAAACTAGTCTTCGACTGATGTTATTCTATCGTTTTAAATCATCAGCGAATAAAAGTTTTTCAGATGATGGATTACTGCATAAGTCATTGATAAAAGTAGGAAAAGTAGTGGTCCCAGGTTAGAACCTTGGGGAACCTCCGATGTGACCACCGTATAAGAAGACCTATGACCGTTGTGCATAAATGTGCTCGATTACATAAGTAAGAAGCAAAAAATTATAAGAGACAATCCATAAATTCAAGATCAGACAGGGCAGAACTACTGGTGGAGTCAGCGATTCTAAAACTGTTTCATCGTATTAATGTGGTTTCGTAAGTATTAAAAAAAAAATTAGTACTATTTGCAAAAGATATTTCTATTTCTTTGTACCTCTCCAAATTATTTATTTGATTTACAAAAAAGATAAGTTTCAGTTATTTTGCAGGAGTCAAAGATAACGTGCGTAATTTTTTAATATCATAATTTGCTGCCTAGATAATTCGACGGTCTGATGTTCTCCAATACTTCACATGATCTATCATGAAAATAGCCTGACCTGGAGCATCACAGATTTCACGTGAATGTGCCACTGATAACGGTGCATCTCCTTCGATCAAAGCGAAAAATACAAATATAGGTATCATCAACTCGACGTTTTCACGCGACCTAAAACTCACGCACTGTGACAATAATACATCTATGTTAATTATTATTACCATAATAACTGTATTTAAAGTATATATTTGCATATGAATGTGAATGAAAGTAATAGCTTTAGCTCGCAACATTATTGGTATCTTCTATATGTATACAGTGCGTTCATGATGAAAGGAACAAATTCGTTTAAAATTCAGGTAATTATTTTGTGGAAAAACGCTCGGACACATCGATTAGTATTTTTAGTTGAATATACATAAGAAAATTGTATACAGAGTGTCTCAAGAAGAACATATGCAGTCATCATTGATTTTTTTTAATGGAACACCCTGTATATTATGAATTGTTTTTTGAAGGATGGCCAGAATGATTCATCTCTTCCCAGTTGACGAAGTTAAATCACTATTCCGACCATATTTTGGACGACATTTGCGAACTGAAGCTGCCAAACCTTCATTATTATTAAAACGTTGCTCAACAATCGTTGGCAACACTTTACCGCAAAGATGGCGCTGAATTCAAATGTTGCGTGAATTGTGGGACATCCAATACAAATTACTTATTACAGCATTTTGTTAGTATTTGAAAAATGTAGTAATTTCATGTTATCAATCAAAAAATGATTTCAAGTGACTTTTTCTAAATACTACCACAATAAATTTTAATTACTTAAAGGTATTACTCAAATATCCCATGCGTGACAACCGTGATCATCGCTAACATTTAATAATTACGAATATGTATTGCGAAATAAAACAAATACAAATTGGGTATTAGTTGTTAGAAATGCATATAACTACATATTTGCATATTTTATTCTCTCCAGGCAAACCCCACAGAAGACATTCAAGTAACACATCTAATTCTTCTTCCATCTACGTATAGGTACCATTACCTAACAGAACCAAAATTATGTAAAATTTCTGACACTCATTACATTATGAAATGGAATGTGAAGAATCTAAACAGACTAGAACAACGCATCCCACATGTATTTAGACAAAATGGGTATACCAAACAAGCAATAATTTGCGGTATCATGATAATTCGTAATTATATTAAAATATTAGAAACACGATACTACGTAATAACAAATTCCATATAATAAGAAAAAGTTATGTGAATTACATAAACCAAACATGTTTTTAACACATTTCAATGTTTTTCAGAGTAAATAATCGTATTTTTTCGGTCTAGAAAATACCAGGCCGTATATACAGGGTGAGTCATTAAGAATGGTACACAGCTTAATGGCAGATTGTTAACGTCAAAATATAGCGATTGAGCCAATCATGCCTTAATCATTGTTGCTCATTTTCGTTCTACAGTGTATTAAAGTTGAAAAAATGTTTTCTTTTTTTATCTATATTTTAAGTATGTATGGACCGATTGTTTTGAAAATTTTTAGTTTTACGTTTTTTGAGGTGGCAAATACGAATATGCTAATAGTGTTGGGGTCACGTCTAGGGGGCGTTACTTGTACTGTCCTGTCAATGTAAAAATATGTGTAACTTTTTATATTTTACAATTTTGAATTTTTTAACCAGAAATTATTAAACTACGTTCAATTCTAAATAAAAAAGGTATACTTGTTACAAATCGATAAATTCAACTGTTTTCGAGATACAGACATTTTAAGTTTTTGAGATTCGACGGGAATTAAATTAGAAAATTAAGGCTAAGAAAGTGCATTGAAGTTGCTGGTAGTTAATAATTTGTTAAGATATGCATAATAAAATCTTTAATTGCTGTAATGTTTGTCTTAATTCAGGCTTGGTATTTAAAGACCTGCTAATTTACATTGATAGGACAGTATAACTAGCTCCCTCTAGACGTGATCCCAACACTGTTTGCATATTCGTATTTGCCTCCTCAAAACTACAAATTTTCAAAACTATCGGTCCATACATACTTAAAATATAGATAAAAAAGGAAAATATTTTTTTCAACTTTAACACCATGTAGAACGAAAAGGAGCAATAATTGATTAAGGCATGTTTGGCTCAATCACTATATTTTGACGTTAACAATATGCCATTAAGCTGTGCACCATTATTAATGACTCACCCTGTATAGTATAATTAAAGTCAATCATCAAAGTATAGTTACTGATCAGTGAAATAATTAAGCTTACCTACATTTAGTCAATATAAAAAACTTGTTTGAAATTCATGTCAAATATAACAAGTCTAAAAAATATGTTAAATATAACTATTTTTGAATAAATAAAGTAGTAGCTATATCGAAAAGGACTAAAATACGAGGGCTGTGATTTGGCACTAAATGACATTTTTTATTCCCGCACATCAAAAATAAATTACGAGATCAATGTTTTGGACAATAGAAATGGAAAAAGTGCTTCGACAATTGGTTCAAGAGAATGCAAAAGTGTATTGATCTTCATGGAGAATATTTTGAATAGTAATAATACGATGATTAATATATTTTTTGTTCTTTATTCCCGAAACATAAAAGGTTGCCTCGTAATAATGTCAATATACAAATATAGTATACTCTCAGTTATTGTACTATATTAATTATTCTAACAGCTGAATCTTAACTGTCGATTTCTACAAAAATATGACTTAATTGGTGCAAACATAGAAAACGAAAAAATAATAACAAACGTGCTTGTTTATAATACCTACCGCTTTCATATAATTTCACTAACGACTCAAATAAATGCAATCGTAATTAAATACACGATTTGCGATAATTAATAAACAATTATTCTTAATTACAGAAAGCGTTGCGAGATGATTTCTCATTCTATTTTGACAGATCGTTAGAAGTTTAAGCATGAAATCTCGACGTTGCTCTGATAGGCATACCCACCTATTATCTGTCTCTATAATAAGACAAGTGTCTGTTGGAAAATGTGTGTCTAGGACATATACATATATGTATATGGGAATATAGTACATAAAAGTTCAATCGACAAATAAACATAAATAAATTGAATGAAAATGATAACAAAACATTACTGAATATGTAGATCTAAGAAATTTGAAATATTACTTTTACTAAAAACTACTACATAGTCCACTTGAAATAGATATTGTCTGTAATTATTTATTTGTGTCATTTTCAGTTACTTTTTTATTTAATTGGGTATTTCTGCTACACTGATCAATTAAGGGTTGCTTTTACAAAACATTAAAACTCTTGATTGATTTTCTGAAACATTTGTGAAAAGTAAAATATACAAAACATTTTTGGAAAAACTGTCATCTAGCAATTTTAATATAAATCATTTGATG